TACTACTACTACTACTATGTACCACTTCTATTACTACTACTGCATTGAATAACCAATTTTGAGAACCGAAATCTTTTTAAAAACAAAAACATATGTTGACCTAACGCAAACAAACTCCAACAATCGACAAATCTACCAAACAAATTAATAAAAAATAAAAAATAAAAAAAAAACAAAAAAATAAAAATATTTAAATAAATCCAGCGATGCTCAAACAAGTAATAATAAGAGTGGAAGTTGTCCTAATAATTGCCAAGGAAATTACTGTAATCACCACAACCACCACCACCAACACAAAAACCACCATCTCCATCTCAGTCAGAAACTTCACAACCATAATAACCATAATATTAACAACGAGCATAGCTCTCACCAATCTTGTCATAATCAGCTTAGTCATAGCCATATTAGTAGCAATTCGAAAAGTTGTTCTAGTCATCATCATCACTATAAACACAATAGTACAAATGAAATCCACCAAAATTWTCGTACAACAAACAATCACTGTCAATATCAAGTGCAAGTTCCTAAAACCCAACAGTCTAGCTACAATGCCATTTCCTCTAGCTCTATAATTGTTACCGCACCGAACTCTAGTTCTACATCTGCTTCCAACTCGGACCCAGCATTTGTCACTACAACACCGGCATTATGTTCGCCAGTTGCCGCCAACTCCACCACCAACAATTTGCTGCACTACCCCAATCATAATCCCAAGCCACCSCCCTATACCCGATTTAGCGAACTTTTGAATAATATTGCGATATCAACACGCTCGTCCTCAACAATTTTTGAAGCTACACCGTTGACTTGTAATATAAATGATTACACAAAGCTATCAAATATGACATCACACAGCCCTCTAACACCGCTCCAGTTTTCCCAACCATATAGCGCAACAACAGCTACTCCTACCGTTTCCATAACCAATTCCCCTGCTTCAAARAATAATTGTCAAGAACTGCATTCCAATTCTAAAAATATGAAAATTTCAAATACAAAACCGAACACACACATACAACCGCAACAAAGTCAAAGTCATAGACATATACATCGAAACCGTACACCACTGTCACTGAATCATGTTGATCATGGTCATAGTCATTACTCAAGTACAGTTGCATTACATACATTGAATAGTAATTGTGAGAATGTTAGTAGCAATCATCATCAACATCATCGTGAACATAATCAAAGTAAAAATCATTATCACAAGTCGTGCAAAATCCCGATACACCAACATCACCACCACAACCAAAATATACCGACTAACCACCAATCCCAAGTCCCGCTAACAAATACAAATCTAATTGCCACAAACACTACAAAGTCTACAACAACAACTGAAAATAGTAATTGTACTGATGATGTGAATGTAACTTCTTGTACTGACATAATTTCTCAACCTGAATCAACAACAACGTATCCACCAATAACTGCAACRCGCCAACAAATGATGCCACAACATSTCAATAACAAACAACAACAAAAACACTGGCGACAACCACAACGCCAACACCAACAACAACAACAACAAAATTTACCTTTAAAAACGGCAACATCGTCAACAATGGCCACAATGGCTACAACAACGGCAACAACAACAACCACATCGGTCTCATTTTCACCACGACAATCTCTACCATGTCCACCATCACGGCATCAATGCGCGGCGAGTACATCTTTAATGTCTACCCGTTGTTTGACGWCAACCACAACAACAACAACAACGCCACCAACTACAATTCCATCTAAACGTTTAATATTTAATGAAAAATATAAAAATCGCAAAAATAAAAAAATAATCGTGTTAAAAACGAATGTACCTGCTGTCACAATGACGACAACAACACCAAACGCCACTACGATCTCACCAACAACGACCATGTCAACAATAACGGTAACTGCAACACATTCCACGTTAAYTTCGACACCGTCGTCACTCATACAAAAACCACGCAACTCCGATTTCATACGAAACCCGCCCATTTCCGATTTCATTTCCACGCTTTCTAATTGTACTCCTTCCACCTGCAAATCGAYGCGCACTTCCTCTCTTCTGCCTATTTTCTCCAACGATCCCTCTTCTACAACAACAACGGCGTTGTCTGCGATCTCCTTGGAAACGCCGTACGCTGTTGACTTTGAATCTTCCAATGCCATGTCGTCGGCGTCTGTTAACAAAATAATTGCATATAAYGGCAACAATAACAAAAACAACAATAATATTTATAAACACAATGAAAATGAACCGAACGTTAATAATGAAACCTATTCAAAATGCTCAAACGATCACGATGTGTCTTGTGTTGATCATAATGGTGGCAACAGTAGCAGCAGCAACAACAACAACATTAGCAGCAGCAACAACAACTATCACCAGCAATTCAGCAATATGAGTATGGGTCAGCAAGCGCATTTGCGGCATATGCGCTTTAGCAATAATGGGCGTGGCATGGATAGTGGTAGTAATCATGGTGAATTTAATATGAATGGCAACAACAGTTATCGGCGTGGCGGTGGAAACCTAAGTAACAATAATAGTGGGAATATTAACGCGATGAGTCATCGTCACAATAATGAGTATTATGGCAACAATCATCACAACTATCAACACCATCAGTATAATGAGCATAGTCGGCGACACAATAACATTAACAACAACAACAATAGCAATAGCAGTAATGCATCTAACTCAGGATTATTTGATAGAAATCATAATAATAGCAATAATAACAATAACAATAACAATGTCAATGTCAATCTGCATGGGAATAGCGGCAGCGGCAACAACAGTGTGGTGAGTAGCAATAACATGCCATAATTTCACCTGCAAAAAACACTTTGACATGCTTGTTGATTACAACATTTTTSTAGCATTTTGATGGCCCTAATAGCAACAATCATTCCCGAAGTGCTGACTTTCACGCTGACAACCGCACCGAACGTGGTAGCTTAGCCGACGTTAGTAGTGGTAATGGTCCTGGCGGTCAGTTTGGCTACACCACGGGCAGAAATARTAATAATTATGGACGGAATGGACACCAAAATACCGGTTCTGGTAATTACAGTTACCATCACTACCATCACTACGGCAATAATGGGCCATCAACATCAGCATTAGCAGGCGTTGGCGGCAATGTCTCCAACCTTTTAGATGGACCAAGTGGTTCTAGTGGCATTATGGGTTCCACTTCGTCACTAAGCAGTGGCGCTCATGGGCTGAAATCGGACAGTCCATCGCGCAAGAGACGGCGCATATCCGGACGCATGCCTAGCCAGTCACCACCAGCTATATGGGAGCAACGACGCTCGCCACGAAATCAAGTAGACTCGCATTTAGTTAAATATTTTTTGCTGTATTCAATACAAATAATAAAATTTCTTTTAGGTGCAACAGGGTAGTCCTCCGATACGCCGTCCCCGTCTGCATGACACTGGGTCATCTCATCATAATCGCAGCCATCATGGCAGTAACAATAGTATTTCTGGCAATAGTATCAACAATAGTAATGCCAACAACATTAGTGGAAATCATTTGCAAAACTATCACCAGCCGCAACATTCAATACAACCCACGCCATATTACCTCCGACAGCACATGCCACCACCACCCGCTCTACAACAACAACAACAGCAACAGCAGCAACAACCAGCACCAGTACCCCCAACGCTACACCAAACACAATCTTTAACACAAGCACAGCCACAAATTCAACAGCGTTCACCATGGGACCACTCACTATCTGCTGCTGCAGTCCTACCAAGCGCGAATGCAGCACCTGCRGCCGTGAACGCTTATATGCAGCAAACTCCACCTCCACCACAATCGCCTGGCCATCATCATCAAACATCGTTGGTGGGCGCTCCACCGCCACCACCACCGTTGATGCTGGACATCAATCAGGTGCCTGTCAGTCTCCCCTTGCGCCATGCCGAACCTATTTGGGCCTCAATCTGCACTTATCCAGCACCACCGCCTCAAGCTAGAATAGCACCATGTCATCTGCATGGTATTTACACACAACCGTTCACAGCTCAAGCATGCAATACACATCCCAGTGCTCAATTCACACAAGGCCCACCTGGATTTGCTGCAACCACCGGCGCTCCAATACAAATGCCTCAGCCGCAACAGGTGCAGGTTAGTGCAGCTGCTGCTGCACAGCAACAACACACGCAACAAGCTGCCGCCCTTATGGCAGCCGCTTCTGTCGCCGCCGCTAACTATCAACATGCTCAATTTACCCAACAACAACGTACTGAGGCAGCAGCAGTGGCAGCCGCTGCAGTAGCGGGTCTTTCGCTTGAACAAGCCGGCGTCCATCATTTGGAAGCACATCAAGGACATCAAGCCGCTATATCCACGCCTCCGGCACATCACAATCAATTGCAAGCCACACCAATTCATATAACCTCCATGTCAGCAGTTGCGGCTGCAGCAGCACATCACCTGCGTACGACTGCGTCAGCAGCGGTACAAATGTCGGCGGCACCACAGCCGATTTTGCTCTCRGCAGAGGTTAGCAATTTCTTTAACTATATTCTTCACTCCGAACTTGCATAAATTTKTCTTCCTTATTTTGCCTTGCAGAGACGTGTTTTTCCACCACATCGTCGTATTACCCGTTTCTGGCCCTCAAATCATGCGCATGGACCACACCGGCATATGCTTTCACCACAGACTTTGGGCCCACACCAAGCGACTCCTGTACAAATTCAGACAACAACTGGCATCATAAATCCAGGCTTCTTACTTAATTTCCTGTAAATACGCATTTCTCATATTTTCTTCAATTTTTCGCTCACACATCTTCTCTTTTTTTTCATGCAGTGCCATGTTCCCGCTCTCCCCTTATAATCAACATGAACTGAACTCACCAGATTCCAACGAGACAGAAAACTACGAAGCTTTGTTAAGTTTGGCAGAGCGCTTGGGTGAGGCTAAGCCTCGTGGGTTGGCGCGAAATGAAATCGAYCAATTGCCGAACTATAAGTATAATCCAGATACACACAGTGGTAAGTAGCATAAAATATATAAATATAAATAATAAAGTCTAAATAAGTCTTCATATGCAAAATTTCGCATATCCGTCTGTATATACGCGAAGTAATCTCTCAGTTTTCGAGATATCGATCTGAAATTTTGCACAAGTCCTTYCCGCCCCACCAAGCTGCYCATTTGTCGGAACCGCCGATATCGCACCACAATAACATATAGCTGYCATACAAACTGAACGATCAAAATCAAGTTMTTGTATTGAAAACCTATTTATTTTACAACTTAGTTTCACGAAATTTGACATAGATTACAGACAAATTGTTTAAATTRTTCTGTTCGAATCAAAATGAAGTTCTCGTATTGAAAGGTTACATGTTAACGACTTTTAATGAATTATTCGCAGGTGATCAAACGTCTTGCGTTGTTTGCATGTGTGACTTTGAGTTGAGGCAAGTGCTCCGTGTGCTACCTTGTTCACACGAATTCCATGCAAAATGTGTGGACAAATGGCTAAGGGTGAGTAAACTGCATAAAAAAGGTGCAAACATTTAGTAGCGACTCTTACACCTTCTATCTGCATCTTTATCAACTGAAACTTGTTTACATTTTGTTTAATATTTTCCTATCTATTGTCTAGTCAAATCGAACCTGCCCGATTTGTCGGGGTAATGCTTCCGACTACTTCGAGAATTCAGAACAACAGCAACAGCAGCCGCAACCACAGACTCAACAAACTCAGTCTCAAATCCAAACACAACCTTCAACGCAACAACAAACTCAATCACCAACAAGTACAACGCAAGCTGCGTCCGGGCAACAGCAGACACAAGCAACACAAGCACATTAAATGTAACGAAATAATGTGTATGGGAAGGAATAATAGAATATGCAAAATAAAAATACATATGTACCAAATATTGTAATGTAACGGTAAATGATTTTACTAKAAACCTAAAATCATACAAGTCAGGCACTCTTCTAACGTCCACGTCCAATAGATGTATTTGTACTTCTTTGTGTTTCCAATGAAACCACCTTTAAGCTAGAAATTTATTACAATCTAAGTGAAAAATATAAGATAACTAAAAGTAGCGACATACACACGCCATTCAAATTGATAACTCCTAAAGGCACATACATACACATATGTTATTAATAAATTGTTATTCAGATTAACAAGTGTAAGAAAATCRCACACACAAAAGCAAGTTTTGAACTAAATGCAATAAGATAAGTTGATTAATATATATTCTATATAATGGAATGCAACTAGACATTTACATACATACGTACATAGATATATTACATATTTCTTCGGGCATTGGCTGTATTGCTAATTGTTTTTTTTTTTTTTGTATATAAAACACATTTCTCTAGTATTTGAGTTGTGTAGTTGTACATGTCTGTTGGTGTAATAACTTTCGTAAACGATTTGTAAACATCTACTTGTGGCTAATTATATGGCAAAGAAAATAAATAAAACAAAATTCAATTTCTATGGCGAATTGTTGCTTTATTTGCGCAGAAGTTATGCTGAAGTAGTAGACTAATAAGCAAAAAACTTAGCACTTTTCGAACGAATTTACTTAATAACTTTTTTATGAACAACTAACTTCCCAAAAACAATTGCAAAASACGTGATACATTTGTGACGAAATCAAATTTGGAGCAGCAACCTTTTTTCGGTTTACTCACAACTAATAATTTCACAAAAATGCATATACAATTCGTGCTTGCAATACTAGTATAGCTTTACAATATTTGATAATAAAAACCAACTGTGGTTTTATATGTGTGTGTGKCTAAGTAATGCTGTTAGATTTAAGTTAAACACAAGCGCAGTGTAATGATTTTTCATAAACAGACACACCAACCAGCTCCAGGTCCTTTAGTCGTATATAACAAACATACATACATATGTATGTATATGCACCAATTGTAGACCGTACTATTTTTTATACGTCTATCTATGTTTAAAAAATTTAAAAAAAAAGTGTTAATTGCCTTCAAACTACAACGAATATGTAACGTTTTCACGTAGCTATTTAATTATAAAATATCGACCAAAAACAAAGACAAGCGCTGCAGCTGCTGCAATTAAATACATAGTGGTTATACACATTAATGCATTCTAAATGTATGAAAAGCACAAAACGCGCTACATAAAACACCAATAAMCAGCCGAGCGCATAGTCACATCTCTTGGAGTTTGCCAACTAAAATATTTTTAGCGCTCGCTGAACTTCTTCAAGTAACCGAAGCAAACCTCTYAAAATTTACTTTATTAGCAATTATGCAGAACTAAATTTAAATGGTGTAAGATTTAAAAAATGTAGGCATTTTTAGCGTATATATTGTCTTCCCTTATCTTGGAAAAGTAATTAAATTAAWTCAAACCCTCTAAACATACATTTGTTTACATATCTTTGTATGCTTGTGTGTGTGTGAATGTCAATTTGGACAAGTTAAATAGACGTTATGCGCGTAATGTTTGTGCGAACTTTAATTACAGAAATTGCGCTGAATTATGCATGCGCGTTTAGATGAAGAAGCTAAGAATCAACACGTTCACCCTCGCAGTGTTTGTAACAGAGAATAATGCATTTTTTTGTAGKTTTTTACTTTTTTTGTTTTTCAAAAGAATGYTTATAGTAAAAGCCGATATGTGGTACATAAATACATATCGTCACTTAAATGCAAAACTACGTATCATTACAAAAAAAAATAATGATAAAATTTCGAAATTAAGTTTTTATTGCTTACKTTCGCTTTTAAGCTTCCGCTGTCAGATATAACCAAGTTATAACTATTTTATAACCAAAACACACCTTTTGTTGCTATGATATTGTTTTTCCTTCACTTTCAAACTTATGAAAATTTATGTTACGTTATTTTGTATTTTAGTTGACGATATATGTATAACAAGAAATTACAAACTCCTTTTTATCAAATACTGTAAATCATATATCAASTGTGAACGGCTGCTATTCCATAGCCGAAAATTTTAAACAAATATTGCTTTGATTTCATTATGAATACAAATGTTTTTACAATTTAGATTAGCAGCTTAACATTAGCATGTTTGGCTAACCATGCAGATTTATATACATATGTATGTACATATGTATATACACAAAAACCAAGAGACTTTTGTGTATATCATTAAGGCACGCTTTAAAAATCCGTTGTGTTCTTTAAATAAATGTGAGCAATTAATATATAATACATATAGGTTTACGATATATCCATATATATGTAAACATGCATGACATATGTAAATTATATGCTGTGTATAGATGTATCTTGAAGTAGACTATAAATATATATATATATATATATATAAGCAACAAATAATGTCAAAATTATAACAATGTTCATGTGATTTGTAATTTTAAAAACGATATATATGTACATACATACATAAATATATTCTAATTGCTGTGAGCGCGTATGTAGTCGTAAAAATTAAAATTAAAATTAACCGCTATGTTTTGCAATTAATCAATAAAATACAAGAAACACATTTTAATTGTCATGTATAACCATATGTATGTATGTAAAAACAGATAATGAGTTAAAAACTAAATATCAAATATGTATATACTAATACATGCACACCTATACTCGTATAAAATATAATGTTGCATTAGTGCGCGTTAAAAATATGAAATCGATTCCTGCCCTCCATTTGCATATTTAACGCAAAACAATATTTATATACATATGTAATTGAAATAAAAACAAATTGCTATTCAATTAGTAATATACGAATGCAATTCGGTTATTAAAAAAAATAAATAAAATAAAACAAAACAAAAAAAGAAAACACTGCTAATTATGCACAATAATCCGTTTCCATTAATCCACAACACATTTCTATAGCTATAAGAAATATAATTAATTCGAAATGGAGCAGCGCATATGCCATTATAGATAATTATCTATGTTGATAAACAAATGTATACAGTCGAACTAATATTGGGTAGTCGAAAAAGTCTTTTCGTATKTTGCCAATATAGCGTCATTCATTCATAAATATTTAACACCAAAGTTCAAGCCCAATAGACTTTTAAAATAATTTGTTCAATACCACCGCCACCAATTGTTTTGTTCCTGTCTACGGTAAGCAAGTGCTGGGATAAAATGACGGACCTCTGCACGTGAAAAMTTCACAGAACTTTGCTTTACTAGCAATCGATTCTCACTGAAATAAATTAAAGCTACGTATGATTTCAACACGAGAAAACGCCCCAATGAAAAATTCMTTAGTATTCTAAACGCTCACATAACATACAGGCGGATAATCACCAATCTCCTATTAGAGTTGTTAATCATTAATATCATTAATATTATGTAATTCTACTATGAAAAACGCATTTCTCAATTTCGATATTAGTTTTTAGTTAGTTAGTTGGTTTACTTATATCGTCGAAGTTCAATAATCCATAAACCATTAATAAATCTTTTTTTTTTTAAGCCTGAACATTGTTATCAAGTTTGTCACGAAGTTTATAATACACAGAAAGAAACGTCGCAGGACYTATAAAGTATATATATAAATGATCAGCGTGACGAGTCAGTTTTTGAGTTATCGATCAGAAATTTTGCATACCTTCTTTTCTTCAATAGTAGTCGCTCATTTATCCGAAACGTCATACCAATTGATTTATTGAAATCCAATGCTTGTACTTTTTTTATTTGAGGAGATATCTCAATGAAATGAGKCGTGCCCAAGACAACGTCACAATTTTCGAATAAATTTTTCAGATCGTACTACTATAACATATACATACATATTTAGCTGGCATACGAATTGACCTAACACTGAATCGAACAAAATGCAGTCCGTTTGCACGACAGTTGGGTCTACGTAACCGCAACGGACCCAAGAACGTWCAACTCGGCAGAATTCTGCCGCTACAAAAACAACAACAAAATGCAGYCCTTGTATAGATTTTTTAAAGTTGWCCTTTCTTTTGCTCTATCTTACGACATTACMCACTAGTTTCGCTTAAATTTTAAGGTTATTATTTTTATTGGATTTTTTTTTTTGTAAAGTGGATAAGCTACCACATAATAAGMAAACGTTTAAATAAATTATTTCAAAACTATGTATTCAAACTATTGAACTTGTGTAGGCACACAAACATATATACATTTCGGAAAATGCACGTATTTATCGTCTTAAATAACACTCTTTTAAAAAGACCACTATATTGTGCAATTTCAAGAATTTTCAAATCACCAATATACTCGTATATTTTTCAAATACTAATAAGTACTATAATATATATGTACGAAATCAAGCATAATAACAACAATACAAGCAAAACAAACAAAAAAAAAAAACGAATATATTATTAAATACTTTTTGCTTATGTTGATTATGAGTCGTAAATATATATGTATATGTACTAGCTGGTTTATTAAAATAAAAAAATATTTCACATGAGTATATATGTACGTATATAGAAATGTACGTGGTCATCTTTTATACTTGCACAAATGTATGGTACTAATTATAAATAAAATCTTTATTCATACATATATAAGTATAAGAAAAGTATTGTGAAATGAATAGTGCTTATTTGTGCTGCTTAATATTAGTTTAAAAAAGACATTAAAGTTAAATTAAGTTTTGCATAAAACAATTTGTAATAAACGGATATAATTAGCTTGCTGACATACATACATTATATATTAACGTATTTGCGTATATTGTTATAATTTTCTTTCGCATTTAACATTAACATCAGTTGATTTAGATTTGAATTGTTCAAAAAAAAAAAAATAAAAATAATAAATAATATTTTTTTTCATTATTAAAATGTAAACATTTTAAAATGAATTAATCGGGAACGAAAAGTTGTATTAATATGTAAAATTCCGCTGTGATGTATGTTTTATGAAAGCAAAGAAAAGTAATAAATTAGTCCCCGGCAACACTTTGAAATACATGCATATATGTATATCATAGATTCCTTAATAAAATTGTAAACAAATATAATGCTGCAACTACACAAAATCAAATTCAAAAGAAAGATCAATAAATCCATGTCTATATGGACCAGATACTTATYACGAAAAAATTGCAAGATGTAAAGTAAATTTGCTTCAATATGAATAACTTTTAAGCATACATATATTAGCAACTTTGCGAATACAAAATAAACTATTCTATGTATCCTTTATATTTACAATTCGATAGAATTTCAACACTTAATATACTGTACTGAAATTATTCCTACAATGCAAGAATTTTTAGTTTTTGTTACAATTCCATAATTAAAGTAAATATTAATGTGTTTATGACAATGATAAAAAAATACAAATTAATAAATCAAATTTTGTGCTAGCATTACAACAATTAATATTTGTTCACTTATTTTCAATTTATTAAGGGTGGAATGGGTTAATTCGTGTAAAACAATCTCTGCAGCCTCATCTCATAAATTATGTATAGAAATGATGCTCAAAATTAGAACATACATTAATTTCGAAGTTTTTGCTGATACTTTATTTTGMGTTTCAGGTGATGAAATGTGCAGATGTAGATATGAATAAAACAATGCGTGGTATTGAGACATCTAAAAATTTATATTGATATTCTTATCCTTTCGATACATTTACAATTTAATAAATAATTGCGTTAAATAAAAAATTATTTGCCAGCCTGGAGTGCCTGCCTGCCTTGAATATCACTAACTCTAATAAATTATATAATAATAATTTGTATTTACTGTATCATGGCAAAATTTCTTAATTCAACTAATTCATATTTGAAAGCCAAATATATAAGTTTAATATATATAAACACAATATTTTATTTAATTCCATATTTTACGTGGTTGCATTATGCAAATAATGATTTTCATTATCATTTTGTTGTGCTAACTCTTCTCGCATTATCAACTTTGCAACGGCAAATTTGATAATAGATTGTCTGCGAGGTGAAAGYTTCTTGATGCTACTGGCATATCCCAGAAAGGTCAAATCTATGCCATCAAAATATCTTCCCCCCAAAGGGTCTATGTATTTGTCTTGGTCCACGGATGTTATGCTTTTTGTGGTTGAATTATAGAGAATTTCTTCATTATCAGGTTCATCCATTAGTTCATCCCAACCACCTGATGTGTTTCCATAATCTGATACTGCGCTGGCAATAGCTTGATAATCTTCATCATCGATTTCATCTATTTCGCCTTTAATTTCGTTACTTGGACTCTGCGTCTTGTCGAACTGTAAACTTCTAACATACATTTCTTTACTTATATCTAGTTTTGTACGACTTTTTAAATTATTTTTAACAATGTGTGTTTGGTAGTCATTGAGTCTYCCGTCGTAATTTCTTTTTTTCGCCTTGTTTCGAATTGTATCTTGATCACCATCGTATCTATCATTGTGTAACATAAATGGTTTAAAAAACTCCATCTGCTCCGACCATCGCCATGATTGATATCGGGCTTCAAATCTATTACTCGTTCTAAAACTGCGTAGATATTTGGAATAACAATCTTTTAGTGTTTTCCATCTTTTCTTGGTATCATCAACTGAAAAACAAATTTTTGGAATAACTAATGTTTTTATGCATAATATTACAATTACATTTTTTATATCAAATAAAAGAAGCACCTTTAATTCCTAAATTTGTCGGTAGCCGATCTGTTAGTGATATCCATGCATCCTCCTTATCGATCTTGTCCTTTGCTCTCATTAATTTTCTGTCATATAAAACAGGAAAATGTTTAATCTCTTCGATCAACTTTTCAGTAAATATTATCATTTCAGATCCATCCAACATCTTGCTATATTTCCAAATCTTTAAGAAACTTCATTAAATTTCTTGCAGACTATTAAAGCATTTACGATTAAGATTTATTATTTATAAACAGAGAAAAAAATTTGCACTTGTCAAACAAACGAGAATTCTTTTAATGTTGCCATCGAGTTAAGTTGCAGGTTTTCACTTTACATTTTATAAAAAGTTTATATCATACGTCTTTTTTATGAATGAAAAAAGTATTTTAACTAATTGGTGTCATATTGAGAATTTAATTCATTAAGATAAAACAAACAATGAATGAAACTAGCATTTTCTTTATCACAGTTCTCGCAAAGTATTTTCATATTCAAAGCAATATATACTTTTAGGACAAGATATACAACATATTCACATTTTCGAAACAATTACTGTGCATACCGGCTATTACATTCATTAATAAATTGGTTTTAACGTTAATTGTTGAAGTTGATTTAAAAACAAACATTTTGAGATATTTTCTAACAAAATTGGAATATGGTTCAGTAAAGTCGCTCTGCTGAACAATTACCAACTATGTCTTAAGTTTTATTAAATATTATAATTCTCTACATATTGGTGCAACCCTGTTGATTTGGAACAGGTTAAGACAACATAGCTGTGCTCCTTACCCGTTTTTAAAAGCGAAAGCAATTCTTTTCATTTGATATGTTGAAAAGAGATGAGTAGATTGCGTTTTAGTAGTTCTGTTCAACGAAAATTCCCTTTTGCGTGTGAAATTCCCCTTATTTTTTTGTATATAGTGGTGATTTGAAAAGTGGTCAAAAAAATACCCTGATAAATAAGWACCTTTTTCAGAGAATGTGTTTAAAAGAGCTGGTGTGCCATTCGAAATTTAAGTTATCATAGAGTTGTGTTGACGTTAAGTTTAGAGAAGGCGTGGAAAACGCGGAAACCACACAAGCGAAAGGCATTTGAAGTTCCAAAACTGTAAAAATCGTTTGCGACGCGCAGTAACCAATTGGTTGAAAAAAAGTTGATTGTAAACTAATTGGCGAAAGTGATATCTTTAATAATTCAAAAGTGCAACGATTGATACTATTTCAATACCGAAATAATTCAAGTTAAATAGATAGATCATCGCTATTGTCTTAAATTGCCGTTTTTGGTGTAACGTGTCGACAGAAGTTGGAATGTGAAACGAAAACGAGACGGCATTTAATATACAAAAGTGATGACAAACGCATTATAAAGGCCATTAAACTATAGTGTTATATTGAATATACCTTATATAAAACCAATTGCAATAGAAAATAAATTTCTGTTACAACTAAATCATCCGTACAAATCGTTAAAACATAAGTGAAAATTTATTAACAAGATATCAATACTCGGGAATCAGTTTCTTCGGCAATTGTCCGAGTAACGGTAGACCTTGTGTGGTTAAGGAGTTGAAAATATCGGTGTGTTGAATGTGAAAAGAATGTACATTACTCTTGATTCTACTAGATTAAGCTAAAAAAACAAAAGTTCAAATAACGGATCGTTTTGCTTGTTTATCTCAGTTAAAAATTGGTGAATTATAAAGCCAGATTTTAAGTGAAAATCAAAACAATAAATGGTAATTGCGTTGGGGCTCCTTTACAAAGGCAAAAATAAAGTGGAAACGATTTTCGGTAATTGTGCAAATTAAACATATCTTAACGAAAATAGCAATTCCATATTGCGTACGAAGGAGAAAAGTGTCTGGAATAACAAAATTTGGCTTGATAATCCTATTTTAGGGAAATAAAGAAAATCGTTAATTGTCTGCCATTTTGCATTCGTATACGAAAGAAATACTTATACACATGTATAAGAAAAATACGACTTTATTGAAGACGCAGCAGGAATATCGTACATGRTAGAGTGAGAGCAATAGTGAATCAAATTAATTGTCAGTTCATGAGAAACTAGAGCTTCGTTAAGTGGCAAGATTGCAGTGCTTTAGCCAATAAGAAGAGTGCTGTGAAAAGGTTTACTAAGCGAAAAGTGAGTAAATTTGCACCTCTAAGTTTTGTAGAATACCATTTTTTTTTTTTAAATATTTCGGCTTGAAAGTATTACTTTTTTTCTAAGTAAGTCAGCAAAATCTATGTTACAAAAGGTAATCTGAGAAAAGTGACAACGTTGCATTTTGTTAAACAATCTCATATATATTTATTTATTGTGTATGTACATATTTAAATATTATTCAGTTTTCTCAACTGTCATGTTARCCGTTCTCCTCAAAAATCACTTCCTTTTTCGTGGTGCCCTCTCCTTTCAAATGTCGACCTCGACTAAAAAAAACAATACAAATAATGAAAGGTTTAAGAAATTTCAATACTCATTATTTATTTACTCTTTATAAAGCCATTTTTTGTAGTTCTTTGACCAATATTACCTGTTTTGCTTTTGCTTGGAAACAATATGATTGTTAGACGAGTCGATACAAAGCACGTCCAGGGATAAAGTTGAAGAATTCGATCATTTAAATTACATACTATTTAACCAGATTATACAGCCAATACATGAAAAAAGGCAAGTTCCAAAAAATAAGTCGGGTTTACCAAGGGGAAACAAATTCTGAAAGGGATTGTGTTACCCATCACACGTTTGTGAATTTTGTATTGACAATATCCTATCTTTMTTTTTTATTTATTTTTATTCGTTTGCCAAATATGTAAATATTGTAATACTTATTTTTTGTTTGCATTGCAAGCATCTAGGTTTTGTATGAATAAGGAGAAAGAGATAAATATTGAATTAAAGTTATTTTAGCATTATCTGAGCAAATGTGTAGAAATTAGCGAAATGCTTTTTAACTAACATTTACRTCAGTGTGAAATTCATTATTTCATTCGAAAAAAAACACGTAGTTTAATTAGTACTTAACTGTGTGTATTTTTGGGTAAAATTTAGAATAGCATCCCCGGATTTCGGGGATAAAATGGATATCCCTRGAAAGGCGACGTTCTATTGCATTTAAAGTTAAAAAATTGACAACTTTTAAATCTATATTGTGAATAACTTTTTCACTTATATTATGCACTTTTCACTTAATAACACTTCACTATAACTTTTCTGTACATTAATTTTTTTAATATTCATTGAATATAAAGCTTTATTTTAATTATTTTGTTTTAGTTAAATTGACTGTATTTGCACGATAAGAATAGGGCATACTAGCAACTAAATGGTATTGCCATATCTGCCTAGTTGCCAACAAAAGAAAATATGCAAAAACTTTATACCATTTCTACATAAATGGCAAACCCAAAAATGTGGATGTATTTAAATGTTTATAGTTTAATTTAATTAATTTGAAGTAAAAAATAAGTGTGTTTAATGTGTTGAAATAGCTTGTTGAAATGCTCGAGTTTTGGGAATTTGAACTTTGAAGTCGAATATCTCGTTAACTAAGCGTTGMCTATAGTCCTATGTATTTTTTATTCAGAAGGACTTCCTCTTTCCAACGGCACCTTCAGATCGCGGCGCCAAAGAAATCAGAATTGTGTCAGCATAAGTCCGCGGCATCTATATATATACTATATATTTTTTTTCTTCATCTGGGGGACCTCTTATCCGTACCTATCAATTTTAACTCCGAAACCGGGGGATGCTATTCTAAACCCCAGCGCATTCACGTTTTATATAAATCTCTAAGTAAATAAATTTAACAGATGTTACAGTTTTTATGACTATCATGTACTGAATTGCAAAATCGTCTGAAATCACACAGGTTTGTCTAATTTAAAACTCAAATTTAGAGACTTGTGACTGGTCAAAGTCCTGAATTGCTCTATTAGAAAGAAACTTTCAACATAATAAATATGGCATTAAAACTACATTCTCTAATAAAACTATTTGTTGAATTGAAAATTAAAAAAAAAATCTTGATGACAATTTTGTAGTATACATATATTAATTTAGGTTTAATTTATTATTAATTTTGTTACAGGACCCTAACTAGATGTACCGCCGGAGCCATTCACGAAAAGAAGGACCATTCAGAAGGACTAAGATACGAAGAAGACGAAGAAGCGTAAGCTTATGAATAAAGTAGCTAAAAAAAAGCTTAAAACAAACCGGAAAAATCAACAGACTGATTATCAATACAAAACAAAATTATATATAAAATTTATGTATATGTTTATACATAGCAATATATATAATAACTATATGTATGTAAATGTAAATAAGAAAGAAAACATAGAAAGAGAATAACATAAAAATTAAGAATAAAAACAGGAAGAAGCAGAAGGAAGGACGGTGAGTTTGATGCTGATAAAAGGGAGAAAAGCTTTGGGAATGCAGGCAAATATTCAATCAGASAGCAGTGCCGCATGTAAATAGATTTTCTACTTAAATTGACAACAAAAGAGCAAAGAACTGCAAACTTTGTAAACGGATAAACTCAAATTAACGTTGATTTTATTGTGTGTGATATTTAAAAAATAAGCATTACTTTAAACACAAAAAATTGAAGAGGCAAAAACAGTGCGTAAAATTATTACAAAAATTAGATAAGGATACAAATAAAAAAGAGCTGCATTAAGGAAGGAACGGAACGCTGAATATCTTAAAATGACATACTCGCACAATAGCGTTAGTAATAATTTTAAAATGACAACAACCGCAGCCGCAGATGCGACGACAATTCGCTTAAAAAAAATATCTAATGGAGGTGGAGTTGGTAATGTAAGCCGCAACACACCGACAACTACTTTAAATGTAACAGCACATTCCAACAGTATTGCTGGCAGTACAAATTACCAATCCTATTACCAACAACAAGTTTTAAGTTCTTCACCACCCGGTTGTGCAATGTCATCGGGTGCTTCCACCTCATCTACGAGTAGTGATTCCTCGCTGGGTTCTAGTGGGTTTGGCAGTGGAAACAATTCGTCGCGTCAACGTAAGCAACAGCAGCGTAAACAGCAGCAAAATCAACAACATCAGCAACGCGATTCGCCACCGCTTTCAAGTGGCATAGAAGGCGCAGTTTTCTTTAGTAATAATAATAATCATTACCAATCGCAACATGGTGGCAGACGTGGAGGTAGCGCTCATAAGCTGAGTGATGGTCAAAAATCACCTCACTGTCAGCAGCAACAAGCCCGTCAATCGCCAGCTGTTATATTAGGTGGCGGTGAAAATCCCATTGCAATTAATAGCAACAGCGGTAGTGCTGGTCGCAAGACTCGCGCAAAATTCGCAATGATTAGTAGCCCATTATTTGGAAAGATATCGCCAACACAACTGGCATTGCCTACTGCGTTGACGCATTTCGCTGGCAGCAAATGCTTTGATGCCCCGTCGCCTACAGCATTACCAAAACCACCACAGCATTGGACCCTGGGCAAGGCGGAACATAAAGCAACCAGCAGTGCTGGACCCGGTCTACACAGTGTAACAACAGCGCGCAATCCAGCACTGGCAGCTGATGCACATACCTGTGGTGGCCACGTTGTTAAGCATTCAAAGCGTAATTTGCTCGACGATTTCGACACGCACAACTTGAAGTTGTTGTTAAATGTGCAATCATAACCGCTACGCACTCCGAATAGTATCCGTACAGCAGTATAAATTAATTCACCATTTATCTAGTGATCATCAAACAAATATATTAAAAAACAAAGCATAAAATTGATAAGAAAACTGAGTTACACATATGTTAAACGCACGAATGCAAAATGTGATATTCGCAATGAACTATGTATGAGTGCGCTGCAAACAAATATTAAATCAAAATTAACATCGCAAACATTTCAAACATTTCATATAATAATATTTACAATTTACTGACCTGGAAATTAGTGGATAACAAATTTGCAATCTAGTAAATGGTGTGATACAAATTTAAACAAAAATCTAATATAATATAAACGTACGTGGAAGATAAAATATTTGCGTATTAACGTAAATTACGACACAAATAACAACTGCTTGTGATCTCAAGTAAAAAAAATTAAATATTTAATTTTAAAATATAAACTGATTGAATAAATAAAACGCAATTTGATAACGGAAATGTAAACTTTCAAAATTCAAAAATGTAGAAAATTCACAATTCTTGTAAAAGAAACTGTACAAATATTTTTTTTTTTTGCTTTAAGTTGTAACTATTAAAGGTTTAAGAAAATTTTAAAATATAAATCGAAAGCCGCGCGTTTTCAATTCAGTTTAAAATACACATCTGTACGACACGGAAAACAGAATCAAAAACAACAAATAGCACAGTGAAAAATTATATAATATAATCCGCCACAAATAATGTATAATAATTACAATTAAAAAACTTTGTGAATTCTGTTTGCAACTGGCAGTGACAGTAAAAATATCAATTTTTAAATAATGAATTCCATCAACCCACCAAAGTAAACAAACAAATAGTTGCGCATTATTATAATACAAACAAAAACAAATGTAAACAAAATGCAATAAAAGCAATAAAAATTAACAACGAGGAAAAAACCATTTAAGCTGTGACCTTACGCGTGCGCCTAAATAATGCGGAATGACCTTGGGTCACACCTTCAGATAACCAGGACAACAGCAGTTGCAGCTGCAGACATGTGCACCAATAAAGATATTAACATAAAATCACAATCAGCAGCGACATTAGATATAAACATGAAAGCATTCATCGGGTGGGGGATATGTTCAGCAATGGCGGCAGTCAATATAAAATCATTTTTTGTAACATATGCCAAAATTTATTTTACTTACCATAAAACAACAAGATTCTCATTATTTGTATTAAATTTTAACAATTTATAACTTTAAATTCGTGAGACAAATTAATTGTAAAAATATGTAATTTTACAGCTAGTAATCTTGTACAATTAAGCGTTGCACTTGCGCCAACACATCAAGTTCCGATTTTTTAGCTTTTCTATATTTTTGATTCAGGGGATTTGTTCTATGGTAGTATTTGATTGCTTTTATTTTAAATAAATAATAGAAAATTGAAAACGAAAGTAAATAAAAGTAGCTCTTTCTTTGTATCCAACACGATTTTGACTTGAAATGCATTCTCATATGTACTTCTACATATAAAATGTGACTATTTAAATCAAATTACTTAAAAAAAACCTAAAATTTGAAAGTTTTGGCGCGGATGTTACGTTTTTGTACTTTACATTTAAATATAATTGTAATTTAAATAATATAGTTATATTTATTTATAGTTTTCTAACTTTTAATTCAGCATCTTTCATAGAAACTGTATAATTTCATTACTTAATATATATTTACATAAGTCGTCTGGACTGTACTGTAGGTAATAATTTGTATTATATTAAAACAAAAAAAAAAATTGAGAATGTTTCTCAATGTAATTATAAGAACGTTAACATTTTGAAAATTTGTATTAGCGAAATAACATGCTGAAAAGTATTTGCAGAAATGACAAACAAAAACCCCAAAGATAAATGTTAACAAATTTTAAAATAGAAATTGTAAATTTTAAAATGTTTGATGATACTTTTCCATCATCAAGCAATGTACAAATCATAAATACAACAATAGATAAAAGACAAAAACCAAACGACCACAAGGTCCAATACAAAAATGCACTTTAATTTATTATTACAAAACACAATTTTTGTAAAAGACGCCTGCCAAGTAATGCAATTTTGAAGAACTGTTCCTCAAATAAATGTACATTTACAGTTGTTCATAGATCCCAGAACCTAGCAAACATCATTTCATTTAATTCTGTATGCTCTGGTGTACACATCCATGTATGTATATACATTAAGAAGTGCAAGAGTACATATGTAATAAAACGTCAGTCATCAAATTAATAGCTTACTAAAGCTAAAAAACGCAATTTTCAATGAAAGCTAGTCTTTAATGCAAGCAAAAGTTGTTAATAACGGGCGTTTATATGTATATTTTCATATAACAAATTTGGCCATAAAAAATATGAGAAATTGTAATTAAAAATCTAAAATTGATTGGAACTAATTTAAAAAAGAGCCGTATTAAAGTAACTGCTTTTACGATGAAAATTTAAAATGTAAATTGATTACAACTGCCTTAAAACAGTATCCTGATGAGTGATTGTTTGCAGCTAGAGAGGAGCACTTAAGCCCAGTACCTTGTTTTTTTAGTTCATAATAATTTTTTATTTTTTTTTTGGGGGGGATACCAGATAGTTGTAACTGTCTGATAACTGATTTATATCAAATTAAATTGTGATGGATTATTAAGCATTTGCCGGCAATACGGTACAACAAAGTCCGATTTACCATTAAGAAAATTATAATAATAAATATGTGTGTATAAAAGATATGCTTAAAAATGGTTCTTGTTTGAACGGCTTYGAAGCATTCTTCTTATCACACGTGCGGATGATTGGAAATCAAAACATCTAGATATGTATGTAGATATGTGTAAAGAAGAAGTGAGGAAGAGGTTTCATTGCACAATGTCATATGTGACCGCATTGGCAAATAAAAAGAATGCTTCGAGAGTCGTTGTAAACAGAAATTAMTAAATCTGAACTGCTGTTGCCAATTTTTGTGAATATGATGCAAATGTTAGTTGCAATCTTAAATGGTAATTTGAATTTTGTGATGCTATATACGTATGTTAGTATGTATTGAATATATTGTATTTTGCTTACTTTTTGTTAGTAATATGAAATTGTATATGACACCTGTGTGAACATACAATATAATTGTTGAACTCCACAAGTAATCTGTAATGATAGTAATATAAAAAACTGGACGTTTTTCTCCGACTTCTTCTAGGAAGAAGTCAGAAAGAATCAACAAATATTAAGTTATTGAAAGCGCACAATGTAATATGTAAACGAATCTTAGTTGAACAATGAAAATTATTAACAATAGTCATGTGACCAGTTGATGGGTGCGCGATAAATAAACTACACAAATTTGTTAATTTTTAACATACAATTGTAGATATGTATATGTATATTGTATGTTATGCATACATAAACAAAAATAAATTATTTTGGGTTGGCAGAAAATTATATCCGCACATAAACCCAAATAATCCTTAAGTACATATGTGTATGTAAAACAGATTGAATTTGCATTTTAAAATTTTCTTTACCAAATGTACATTTTTATTTTGTGTAAATTATTAGTACACATTGCATGTATAGACCTTTTCAGAGTAAAAGCGAAAGCAAAAGCAAAAGCCACAGACAATTGATATATTAATATAATATTGTGTGATTGCGTGCTAAACTTATCTTTAACTGTGAAGACGGCTATGTAAACTAAACAAAAACAAAAGAAAAAATAAGTAAAAGTTATACATACATATTTTAAACTTTAGCCTGTTCATATACGAATGACATATATTTCGTATATACGCATTTAAATTAATGTTTATGCCAAGCTTCTTACGATTTTGCCTCAATCTATTGAAAGTACAGCCGTGATATTTGAACGCAATCAATATTTTTATTTAATCCTAGTTTATTTTTTTTAGTCTATGTAAACGCTTACCATCCGTGTCTACAGTTTAACACCAGGAATTCAACAGCAAATGCATACAAACAATTGTGTGATAAAAATGTATCATATGAACAACACAAAATTTACACACACACACACACGCGTAGACATTGGTGAAGTTAAGCGAATTGCATTTTTAAATGTAAGTAAAATAACAAAAAGCGTATTTTCTTGTTACTCAGACTCAACCTGCATATATAGTAGATAAACCGRATTCCGCATAGGGGGGAGTAGGGTTAATTTGTGTAAAACAAATTACATTTTTATAAGTTTTTATTGAAACAGTTGATAAAATCTATTTCTATTGACATTCTAATTAATATTCCCTTAAATTTACAAATATTAAAAAATTAAATAAACTCTTCAGCGTTATTTCGTAAATTATGTGGAACACGAACTCGGCAGATGTTTTGAAGATTTTGTTTTTTTAACGCTTTAAAGTTTTGAAATCTGTTGTAAAACGTTTATACGAAAGGCAGTAAAGTAGTAATAACTTCGTCAATTGTCTCTAATCGATTTTGACACAGTCTTCTTCAGGTTTTATGCGTTCATTGAAATCAAAGAAAAAACATCCAAATTATTATTTAAAAACCCTACTCTCCCCTTTAATAACATCATAAAATACTTACAATGCTTCACATACACTTAAACCGTTAATTAAAGTTTTATGCTAGTGATTTTCATACAACATTAAAACATTAAAATTCGACATTTGTACTGTGTGCCCAATATTGTTGGATAACGAGAAAAAGAAAATTATAGAAAATTTTTATTTTAATATTTTTTTTTAAATAAGGTAAACACCGTCTAGTACAAAATCTTGCTATTGAAGGAGCACATCACGAATGTCTTATTGTAGTATTTATGATAGAATTTTAATTTTCATAATGTGTGTATGTGTATAGCTCTGCAGTAACAGTGCTTAAATATATATTTTATGAAAGTATTAAATATGCAAATTCAGAGTCAAAATCGTGTTGAATATTCCTTTGTCAGTTTTTAGAGTGTTTTAAGAAATGCATGTTTTATAGTACCAACAAAATCAGGTTCATTGCACTTAACTGTTTTTTTTTTTATCACATTTCACTTCAATTTTATGCCATTTAAAATTTCTCGTACAAGAAATTTCTCAAAGAAATTATAATATGCATAGCTACATATGTACATAGGTGAAGTTTTACCCAGTTATTAAATATATGTGATTAAGGAGTTGAAAATCGAGTAGTGAGCAGGCATAATTAATTTATTGTTTAGTAACGTATGGTTTGAAGTTACACAAAAGCTTTAACGAAGACTTGTTAAGTGAAAATTACTGCAAAAATTTAAAAATAATACAAGAAAATTAATTAAAAACCAAACGAAACATACACACCAATACAAACATTAATTATAATAAATAAATAAAACTAAAAACAAACGTAAAAAACCTTTTATACAAACCTTCAAGTACACCTCCGCACATACATCTGTATGTCATACCTAACATCTGATTTTTTTTTATGCATTTTCAATGCTTGTATGTGTTTATAGAAGTGTTTGATAACGAAGCCTGAAAATATATAAACGATAAAAATGAAATTAGCGCAACTAATTAAGTGCTTTGTGGAGAAAGTGAGGTGTAGGCGGAGTGTATTGCCAAAATATGCTCGAATATTATTTCTTTATTATTTTAATTTGATTTTTTTTTTTT